GCAGTTACTACAAATAACAAGTCTTTATCCTTATGCTTGAAAAAAAATTGAATAGTTGTCTTTAATATAGGTTTAATCATGAATAAATATTATTTTGCCATGGATTTAATGTTATACCTTAGGACGGAAAACTTTCATTATTTCAATTTTGCCATATAATGCTATTTCTTTGATGGGCTGCAAACCTTCTTCAGTGACTAAAGATATATCAATACGATTAAATCGTGCAACGAGTAGATTACGATCAGTCGGCGATGTGAAATTTGCTAAAGTTACAAATAAAATAAAAATATCATTATTTTATAATTAAAAATATAGGTAGTTATTTTTAATAAGTAGGTAGGTACAAAAGATGTACTCAGTAACTAATGCCTTAACAGCTCCTGTATAATATTAAATATTTATATTAAGTCTTAATTTAACGGTAATTGTTTGAAATCAATTATGACTAACTTTGTTAGCAAATTAAATAACAAGATCCTTCAGTAAATATTTGGAAATTATGAAGATAAAGCTGAGTTAAAAGTTTGTTTAATAAATGTATTCAATACAACATTTGAGTACCCAGCAGTCAAAGTCATTGGGAAACGGTATAGGTTTACACATAAACCCCAGACAAAACAGGAAAAGACCAAAAACTGTTAATATCGATTAGGAGACTGTTATAAACACAGTCACGCTTTAACTGGACGCATTTAAGTATTTGTCCGGTGTGTATCACATACCAGAGATGCTGGTGACGGCTGCGGTAGGCTTGTGAGCCGTGACGGTGTAGAACTGTTGCGTTGCCATGTCTGTGATCAGTTAATGACTGCTACTATTTGAATCAGGCGTTGATGACAATATTGACAACGAACTCGTGCTCGGCTGTATCGTTAGTTCACGTGTAAATGGCAATATGAACATGCGATAAGAATGCTCGATAAATTGAATAAAATGAAGATGTAATATTGGCCAACTATTAGATTTCTATCACTTTTTAATTAATAATTACTGTAGCTCAGAACCGCTCAAAACGTGTACAGCGGAACTATACTGACTAGGAAGTCACGGTGCCGTCGTCAAATCAGTCGGCGGCGGGTCAACGTTATGTCGTTATCACGTGCCTACCGTTAGTGTCGTACTGCACCAGGAAAATACTTATAATAATGTATATATATAAGTAGTTGTTTTGCTTAACATTTGTTATTTCTTTTCCAATAGCCGAGCGCTGATATCCTCGAAACGCCGGACGAACCGGTATCATATTTTAACCTATTGTTCTATGGTATCATTGCGATTGGTACACGTCACAGTGTGACCACCATGCTACAGAAATCCGTCGTCGTAATCAAAGACCTATACATGTATAAGCTAAGTTTATAACTTAGTTCTGACTTATAAGCTACTACTTAGTAATTAGTTTCAACTTAGTTTATACAAAAATTAAATATACTAGTATGCTTAATCTATGGTTATAGGCCTATGGTCGTTATGCAAGTTCGGAACCACGATTATAAAAACTTATTAAACTTATTGTATAAGTACTTTATAAACGTGCCTCGAACTAGGATATCTTAAATCGTTGTCGGGATACTCAAGGTTTATAGATTGTAGTCTATAACTCTTGGGGACACTTCCTCTTTTAACAACTTTAATCAATTCGGTCGCTTAGAGAGGACATTTTAGTTGAGTTTTTCGCCGCTATTAAGCACTTCGAACAACAGAATTTTATTAAGGTTATGTATACAAATTTAAAATATTTTAGCGGCAAACGAAAATTAAATATCGAAACAAATAATTATTATTGTAATTGAAATTTGAAATATATATAAAAATATAGAGGCATAAATATTCATTTGTGTACATACATAAACATATAAATTATGTTTATACCACTATTACAGTTCCTAAATTTATAATTTTGTTGTTAATAAAATATCATACCACAAATAATTATAAGAAACAGATTATATATTTTATATAATCTGTGATCATACTATTGTAATTGTTGTTCAGTTTTAAAAATTGTTTCTTTCAAATTAAATATGCCCATCTTATTTTGGTTTTTTGGTTGCAATAAAAATACAAAATTATCTGTTTGTTGTCCCAAAAATGATGTGAGTACTTAAAGCCCAATGGGAAAGTAATCTTGAGATAAAACTTAAAAGTTATTTTGTTATTTGCGGAAATCATTTTAACTATGATGATATAGAACTACAAGTGAATCAAAAAGATCACGTTTGAAATATTATATTTTCTGTGAGTTTACCTATCAAAAACAGAATGTCTATCGTTTTCATATTTTCCGACCTACATTTAAATGGTAAATATTTCAAAACTATTGGTATTTATTGATTGATTATTGACACATATTGTATTAAGCATATTTAAAAATATTCAGTTTTTATCTTCAGACATATCTTTAGGAGCAATTATTCAAAAATATTTGTATTTACTATGATTACATTTAAAATATATTTTATTACTAAATAACATTGTTTTAAATTAATATTATTAATAATACATCTAACACAAGACTCGTATAATTTCTCTAAAATGAAACTGAATCGCAATAAAAAAAAAATGCAAAATTATATTCTTCATATAAAAGGTACCTAGTATACCAAACTTGTACTGTAAATATTTAAATTTTGTGACAATTTTAATATTTTCGAAACACCACTTTTCCGTGCCCCCACCCACAAAAAAAGGGATTAAACTCATTAAACCAGGTGCCGCAGCCACACTAGCACACTGTCACTACGACTATCTACCATGATAAATAAAATACAGTGTACTCTCCACTATTCGATGGAATAGGGTATTAGGGTGGCAGACATCCACGAATAAACGAATTCTGCGGATAATCAGCAAAGTAATGCAATGCAATGTACGTTATCGCATAATCGACTATCACAACCCAATTTAACTGATAATGATGTACATAATACAATGTACATTCGAGGGCCTAGTATTAAAGGAACATAACATAATATATACATACATTGTATTAATATTAAACATGCCTATCGTATTTTACGTCGTTATCGAGTAATCGGCTATCACAAATTATCACCCAATTAGACCGATAATGATTTATAATGTAAATATATGTATGTATATATATTTTTTTGTATACATATTACATATAGATAAGTAGATGATTCCGCGGAAGAAGGTGAAGAATCCGGTACTCGGATAGTCCGCTCGAGGATAATCGAGAGTACACTGCAGCCAGCAGGTATGTCAGCAATACACCGGGTTTGAAACAAAAATCGCATCCACCCCCCTCCACCCAGCTCTGTAATGTTACGGAAGCATTTCTCTGTTTTTCAACGTTTTACCTCCAAAACTGCAGCTGCAATCCTAAGCTTTAAAAGTTGTTTTATACATTTTTAATACATTTTGTCAACATTTAAACTTTGAATGCTATTGAAAAAATCCGTACCTATATATGCGTATTATTAAAATCTTTCAATTGCAGTTCTTGTAACAATGTATCAGGAGCCTTGAATTAATTTTTCAAACTTTTCGACCGAACGAATAAAATTATATTAACGCTATAGAATAGAAAACTAAAATGTCCAAAAATATATTCAAAATAGTCAAAATATTTTTAAAATTTAAGAAAATGATGAAATAAACATTTAATGGAAATGTCAAATACTCAAATATCTACCTATGAATAAGTAACAAATATTAATGATCTATCAGCTAGTATGTGTCTTATCCGTCTTACATGTATGTGTCAATTTCAACAGATCCTAATCAGTAATTAGCAATTCAGCATATTGTTACCTAGTCTTATTATTAGAGTGGTTATTCAAAACTAACGAAGCTTAATGATAATTGCTGTTCAAAAATATTATATGTTTCACACTTGAAGGCAACCTATGCACATTAAACGTCCTTTTAGAAGAACATTTTTTCATCATTTCTTAATGATTTTTTTTTAGTTTTATATGGTTTGTATAAATATTGGAAGATGTTGACATTTGGAGCAACTTTATAACATTATACAATTATTTTATTTTTTTCCTTCTTGAAGCACTAGACTTACCAACCTGCAGGGAAAATTCTCCCACTGTCACCACCAATAACCGAAACTGCACTAAAATAATTATAATTATAAATGGTTCTGTAATATAAAAAATGCTAAGGCCTGGTCAATAAGATTGAAAAATTAATATAATAATCCATAAGTATAAGCTGTTCTTATAGAAAATCAAAAATATTTTTAAAAAATAGAAAATATGAAATAGACATTATCAGTATTTTAATTCTTATGTTATTCATTTACATTGAGTAGAGTCAGTAGAGGTATAAAAAAATAAAACAACGCCTGGAAAATGACATAATATAATATACGTATAATAATAAATTATTATTCAATATTGCAAATAGTTTCTTCTGTATTATTATTAGGCTATAGTAAAAATATTTTGATGTGAATAAAATATGATCTGCTAACAGATATGACAATAATTTTACAGATTTAGATTAAATAACTTCGTCGACAGGATTGCGTATATAATTAAATGACTGCTGTAGAGATTCAGAATCAGTCTCAGAGTTTCCAATCAGATGACCAAATCAAACAACTGCAGGACGCGTCTGAACTGCGGTTTTGGTCTCGTGGACCTTCAGAGACCGTAAAACTATACGTCCCAAATATAGTTGTGAATGTCCTACATACTAAGGAATATTACAAAAGTCTGAGCAGAAGCAAAGAGTATATCACCGATACTGTGGTGAGGAGGTGTTTTTTGGTAACCACGGCTGACCTTTCATACATTAGAGCCACTGACGATAATATTAAAAATAATTATTTAACATAACAATGTTTACTCATAGAACATTTTCGTCAGACCAAACTTGCTGGAGCGGAAATTTACACTCACCGCAGAGGTTACCAAAATATATTAAACACTCTTATTGAACGACTATTGGATACCTAAACACTTACTTATATTATTTCAACACCTAAAATGGTTTCGATTTTAGTATAAATACCCGACAACGGTGGTGAGTATTTATCAGTTTACATCGATCGTTCTAAGCATTCTCAACTGCGTTATTCATCGTGTATCATTCTGAAATAGGCATATATCAAGGTACTTTACTCACAGCGAAAACAAGATGGTGAAGATTATGTTACAAGTAAGTGTATACCATGATATAAATATGGCTGTACAATAGTTACAATATTATGTGTAAAAAACATGGATGGTAAACAGTATTTGCATTTATTGTGTGATTAAATATAGGTCTATTGGTAGCATTTTAAATATTTTTTTTTTTAAACATTTTTAGTCAACTAAATCTTTTAAAATTGTTGATGCTAATTTATACGTATTCAATTACAGTACTTGTTTAAATTACTTAAAAATAGTTGTTGTATGAATATGAATATTACGTGTATCTATATTTACAATAAATAATAGAAAAACAAAAAGGCATTACCAACCAAATTGGGTTATTATTAAACACGAACAATATATGACTAAAATTTATATTGTTTATATTTTATATTTATCAGTTTTAAATTTAATGTATTTATATTCGCAGGTCGCTTTACTCGTATTGACCACTCTAGTGGCCATTACTTTTGCCGAACACGACGCTACATCTTACGCGTTTTATCATCCAAAATTCGAGAACACCCATCACGACGGACACGACCATTACGTAAGTGCATTACTGTTAATATATTTTCCCCAAAATAAATCTCACCATGAGCCATGAGGGAGAACAACACATTATCTTTGTAATATTTTACATCTATACCTTTGTTCTCGATCGAGTAATTCATCACACTGACTGATTAATTGTATAATAATCATAGATTTATATTTTTATTTAAAAGCAGCTTATATATAAGTATGCAAAATATTAAAATTATAAAATGCTCATACCTAACTTGCTTTAAAATAATTACCAGATAAATAAAATCCGAAGAGAGAATAGAGATAATATTATTAGATACCTACTATTAAAATTGATAGTAGGTAAATGTACTGTAATATTATTAAAACTAACAGTATACAAACATGAATTCTTCTAATAACCACAAATGTGCAACGTTGTACCTATACGTTTGCAAGACCGAGACAACTCATGGTCAATAATAATAATTTCAAATTCCAATGGAAATCTAAAAAGGACTTTGTGTACACCCATAGGCGCCACCCCATTACACGTACAAGTACGGCGTCAAAGACCCTCACACAGGTGACCACAAACACCAGTCGGAGCACCGCGAGGGAGACGTAGTGCACGGAGAGTACAGCGTCGTGGAGCCGGACGGTCGAGTCCGCAAAGTGACTTACACGGCAGACAAGCACAACGGCTTCAACGCTCACGTCCATCACGTGCACCACGCCCACCACCCTCAACACTACGGACATCACGAAGAGGAATGATTGTCGTCGATGGATTGATCATATTAATATTAATAATATAAGTAGCTGGACATCGCTAGAGAAATCATAATATAATAATTAAAGATAATATAATGGCGTATACCGTTCTACTGCTGTGAAAACTCGTTCCGCGAATGTATATATGCACTCGGCTGTTATCGTGTACCGCTGTTAGTTGTTTTTGTTTTTGTTATTGATTTTTATTTTGTTTATATGTCAAACTATTTGTTATATTATTAAAGATTATTTTTGTTATTGAACCAATGGTATTACATAATTTACATTTTAAGATATGCTATATTTTTCACGGAGTAAGCAATACTAAACGGTTTAAATCATCGTACGTACAAATCCAATAATAAATTACATCTATTGGTATAAACACTATAAACTAAAAGTAGTAAGTACTAAGTAAGTAGGTAGTATATATTGTGACAGCTGTAGAGTAAATAATAATCCAATTCTACAAACTGATTTATTTCATACACAAGTACTGTAAATATTAGCTATAGTGCTATACTAATACAGTAATACTATAGACACCTATACTTTGGCGAATTGTACAATATTCTATCTCTGTGTCTGGTGAGGAACTCTACATTTTTGTGAAATGAAATCTAAAATTTTTATCCAACCACCCATCGCAACTTCCCAGCCATCCAAATTTAAGAAGAGAAGCTACTGTTTTCCGTGATATATGAGTTCGGCTGCACTGAGCCCAGTAGTCACCACTTTTATGATAAGAGACGTTCATATACATATAAAGTGGTCAGCTGAAGTATTCTGACAATTCAGAGATAGCCGTTAGTCGTTACACTGTTCCCCAATCTTTAGAAACGGTGTAAAATCTTATATTTTATAACTATTGTCAGAAGTTAAATAATTAAGTATATACTTGAGACTAACATAAATTATTCATATTTTTGCCGTTGAAAACCATACTTAATAAAGGCAGATTGGTATAAAACAAAATTTTGTGTCAGGTGTCAGATCCCCAACAAAAAACTCGTGTGTAGAATTGAAATCTTGTTTTGCGTTGTGCAATCTTACGATTTTCGGTAGTTATATCGTTTAATTTTAAGCATATATCTATTGAAGTACTTCGTAAATACACCCCAAAGATTTTCGTGTCCCCAATAATCTCTATTTTAAAAGAAGCAGGTAAGAGGATGGCTCTCTGCTGAGCAGTAGGTTACAAGTGGATCACTGTAATGTATGGTGTGAAATTTGAATTCAATGATATAATATCATTGTATGCAAAAAACGGTACTGAGTAGACAGTAAGTCGAATTAATATTATTTGCGTAACAACATATTTGTATATACTTTTCATAGTTAGTATCGCAATTAAATTTTCCAGGCGAAAGTTTTGCTTTGGACATGTCCAATACTTCCCAAATCTATCTAAATTCAAAATGACTGATTTAATTAAAATCTTAAAATAATAAAATTACTTTAAGTTTTGTACCTGAACAGTATAACTAAAAAATTGAAATGAGATTTTAATAAAAATAATTATCGTAAATAAATTAAAACATCCAGATACATTACCGATTTACAAAAACTGTAAAAATCTTGTTGCCAATTACACAAGTGCTCGAACCAGGGACTGGAACCGTACCGAAAAGAACCGGTTTTGGAACCGAAACCCTTTGAATTTTGGGAACCGGAACCTCACCAAAACCCTAATTTAAATTAATTTGAAAACCGGAACCCCACCGGAACCCTTATTTAAATTAATTTAAAAACCGTAACTTTACCGGAACCGATATTCTTTTGTAAAGGTTTCTTACGATTAATTTCGGTTTTGTAATAATTATATTATTTTTATTTTTATTTGTCATTATTAAAATCATTATTATAAGGATTTATAATATTTAAAAATAATCATTCAATTACCTACAGAGTACAGAGTTCGAGCGTCTGAGACGTGTCACTATAAGACTAAAGTATTAATAATTCTACGTAATAACTGATAATGTATTAATAGGAATTTCCAGCAAAAATAAAAGTCGTTATTTACTGCACAATATTATACACTTATAGGTCTTCCAGTTACCACAATAATAAGAAATTCATAAAATATGTTTATAAATAACTACGAATATTATGATGTCTACAACGCTAATATAGTATTTTAGTATCGTTATCTAACGCGTACCTACAGCACGCCTAAATGCGTTTCTTTCTGTCTTACTTTGCTAGTGTTGTGATTTGTTACTGTTCATTATACTCATTATAGTGTCTACTGTCTAGTACTCTAGTGTCTATAGCTGTGGGGTCTAGCTTCGATATTTTAAACTTTGTATTCTACATCATAATGGGTCGTATACTTTCGTCAACAATGTTGAGCATTTACTTGAAAATTTGAAAATACTAATATTTTTTAAAGAATCGAAATTGAATCAAATTTTTAAGTATAAAACCTAAACAGAAAACGAATTTTAATTTTTTAAGAACCGAAAAGAACCGAAATCTAAATTTTAGATTTTCTAAGAACTGAACCGGAATCGGAACCGTAAAAATCATCAAGGTTCCTGTCCCTGGCTCGAACACACAGTTCTGGTTTAACCACAGCGGTAGAAATCATCCGGTTATCCGGTTCTCTCGAAATACATTGTTTTGAATTAGAGTATTAGACCGACCACACTATCCTAAAATAAATGCTAGGGCCGTCCGGTTCAAATATAAGCCACATGGTATTGTGGTTGTCGGGATTGCCCGGACAACCCGATGGATATTATAACACTTGCATTTGTATGGGGTCGGCTACACTGACGTACGCAACCAGAAGGGTCGCATCATTACATGCCTGCTATTATTTTTTAATTTTTACTGTCATCACCTCTGTAGTATGTGTTTTGAATAAATTTTAAAAATGTTTGATGTTGACAAATTTATCGAATGCATTAACAATAATAATACAATTTGGGAGACAAGCTCCAAAGAATACATGGACAGGAATATAAAAGCCCAAACTTGGGTAATTGTTAGACAAGCTGCATATGAAGAATGGCACGAGTTATCAACTATAGATAAGGATAGGTAAGATTTTGTTATAATTTAGTACCTATAATGAGTAATTGTAATATGAAAATATAAAGTACTGTACACCATTATCTAGAGACCTAGAGTAGTGTAGTAGAGTATATTCATTTGAATTTGACCTTACCTGTATGGTTATATATTCAAGTTAGTAAAATTAACTACGGGGTTGGTTAAAGTTACGTTCTAAATGAGTGTTTGGGGCATGCGGCTTTTAAACGTCATTGTTGGCTTTGAAAGTTCGCGGAGTTTTACCCACTCCCTCCTCACTGTTAGCGCGCTTGTGTCGTACTCGTTCGCACTGCCATTTTGTATCCGGATGGACGCCTGTTGTGTTCGCCGGACAATCCGTTCGACGTAGTTTTAGGTCCTCTACTGAGTCTACTGTATGCGTTCGTCCCGAGATCGCTCCACACCTGAGAGACCAGATGGACGACTGTTGTATTCCACCTGTTAAGGCAGGTTTTCCGCACGTACTTTGTACTTAACAGAGCACACCTGACATCGACTATGTACATAGTACTAAATACTAATAAACGTTTTTGTTATGTGTTTTAATTGGTTTTTATTTGATACGTATTATATTATTTTTAATAAACGCATCAAAGCGCTGGAGTAATATTAATGTATGCGGCTTGTGGAAAATGTGTCTATATTTATATTGTACAGGTATACTGTTTACTTTCGGGTTTTTTGTAACTGTTGTAAAAGTTTCACGTGAAAACTTGTATTGAATTCTCAAGATTTTTGACCGAAGAACAAAAAAATAATTACTTACTTACAAATAATAGTTTGGCCATTTACAAAACAAACGCACAATATTATATAGAAGCCAGAGCATAACACTCATTCCTAAATATCTTAATACCTATGTCCATTTACGCCTTTTTGGCTGCCTGCCCCACGTTGGTACCATAGAGAAAGACGGACTTCGTGACCATCAAAAGCGACAAAAGCCCATTCGAATAGAAATTTGATAACCCCTTAGCATAAGCATAGTAATCTGATATATGGTACTCTGGCAGTGCATTTAAATAGCTACCTATACCTAGTCTCCGTTTATACGTAAAGTCAAAGAGTATCTGTTGATATGATAACTTTTGTAATAGCGTTCTTTTGAAAATTTTCAACTCTCAGACTTCAAAATATACGTATACAAATTCAGTTAATTAATTACCCACGCTTGTAAGCCACAACTCACAAGCATTCATCCATACTAAATATGTTTGAAACGATTGAAGCTTTATTTAAGTAAATCCTTAAACCAATTCATTAGGTACCATTCATGTCTGATGGTACACCGTAATTTTAAACAAAATCATTTTTACTTTTCATGATATTCCATTAAGTGCCACAAAATCATTTAAATGATATGGAATCATGGTATTCTAATTTAGAAGTGAAGTAAATAATTCAAAGTCTTCTCATATACATTTTAGTCTTAAAATAGGTACATAATTTTTCACAGTTTTTCTGAACAGTAATTAATTCCATCGACCTCCAGTGTCAAAAGTCTAACTTGGGTTGAATAAATTAAACGAAAAATGGTACCAGTAAATCCCAGAAGTAAGTATTTTTACATTATTTTAGGATTACACTTCAAACTCAGATTAAAAAATAAACTCTTACTATATAAATCCTTCCAAAGTCAATTACATGGTCTTATAGCGTCCTAATATTATGGGGTGCTACAAAGAAATCGAATTCTAATGAAGTACGAACTTTCCAATTAATATCATTAGCCATTAGGTATGATGAAAAATGAGCGAATTTATGTCTCAAATCATTGCTTACACTTGGACTTAAAAATTCAAACAATATCAAAAGTAGCAGCATCTATAAAGAAATACTCTTTTGCTTGAGTCTTACAGTTCATTCAACCTCACTGATCATTAGCCCTACCATACCTACCTTAAAGTTACATATAGTCGTTCTGCTGAAATTATTGATTCCGTGATATAGGTAATAACACAAGTGAAAGTTTCGAATTTACTTCAAGTTT